GCAGATTCCCGGCAGGCTGCAGTGTCTCAATATAATACATTGAATTATATATAGGACAAGTGAGTATAGAAGATGGATGGATGGATGGATCATCACAACAGGGTAGGGAATATGACACACAAACATCTATTAGTAAATAAACTGCAAAAACTGCAGGGGAAGGGATGCAGTGAACTGATGCTACTATTTAGGTTTCAGCTACAGGCTCTTTTAGTGAAAAGTGGCTCATATTTAATGGCATCAGACTCACAGATCTCAGTCTGCTTTACCTTTGTCTGTGCAGGGGCTCCATCCTCACTAAAGTAAAACATACTGCAGGCATCACCGTCAATTGAAGGGCATCAAAGTGAGAGATCAGCTGCTGTATCTGCTGTTGCAAAAACATGGAGAGGAATTTTTATTTAAAAATTGGGTTGCAAGGACAATTATTTATTTTTTTTGATAGCGATTAATTGTCATTGTTGACACACCACAGCACACAACAATGAAGTGTGTCCTCTGCATCTAACCCATATGTGAGGTCGTGACATAGCAGGGGGCAGCTAATTCAGCGCCCGGGGCGCAGTTCTTGGGGGCGGTACCTTGCTCAGGGTACCTCAGTGGTGCCTCCATACTCACTAAAGTAAAACATACTGCAGGCATCACCGTTAGTCAAAGCTCATTTTCTGCATCTCCTGTTGTAAAAACATTACAAAAGTATTTATGTACAAAAAAATTCCCTGGTAGAGTTCTGTGCTACTTGGGAATGGCTATGGGCCTCATCCGAGATCCAGTTCAAGATAAGTGGTTGGAAGATGAGTGCATTACACATCCAAAAGCATGGTTCCTGGACCTTTGGAAAATCAGTTTGTCTGTAATTTAATCCACCTAGATCTGATTTGTGTCAGATGAGCTGGATTTAAAAAGACAGAGGGCACTTCTGACGAGACGGACAAGATTTTAAAGTGTATTTATCAGCTCTGCATTCTTGGCTGTGTCCTCTGTTGAAGACGATGCTGGGTGAGAACATCTCTGGTGAAGACAGGCATCATATCTATGAACATTTCGGTCTCTGGTAGCAGACTGATGCTGCTTGACCTTATATTACTGTTACCCGGTGTTGAGGCAGCGTCCACACAGGAAGTCTGGTTGCTGTGTATTGAACTGCATGCATGATCTGCCTGAAAGTCATGAAGCTGCACCACCTCTGCTGTGCCCTTTATACATGTGAATTATGTTTTACGGATGCAGTGGTTATTTTGGCCAGGTCACGGTGCATTTTGATTCTAAAAATGAATAAACCTTTTTCAAAGTTTCATGTGAAATCACCATACATCACCGTATTTGCAAGTAGGACTACCAAAAAAAAAAATACAGGCCAAAGTAGAACACATTAGAATTATTTCCCACGTGTCACTTGCCTCAAATACAACACACACTGGGAAGGTTTTGTCACATTAGCTATCTGAATAATAATGTTTTAGGTTAAACACTTTGCCCATAAAACAAACATATTATCTAATAATCAAGATTTAGTGCATCATGCTCATTTTTTTTGGACCAGAACCTGTGACATGCTGGAAGTCAGAGAGGAAGTTAACACCTTCTGCCTATAATTTCAGCCCAGGCCAGTTGCCCAGTCAGCTGCATTAAAACACAGTCCTGTTTCCTTTTACACTGCATGAGTGCTGCCAGAGGACTGTCTCCGCCCATGACAGCCTATTTTTGGCATCATTGGGCACTACTGGGGATCACCCTGGACAGGATTCCTGTCTATCACAGGGCTCTTCAATTTTTCTTTGATACAATAAAATGCAAAATAAATCCAAAGCAGGATTTAAGCAGCCAAAACTCTATCCGCAACAAGTTTTAAAATATTACATACATGAAACATAACTGGGCATGAAGTTCTGCGGTTAATATCTGAATCATCAACAGGCAGGACAAAATGAAAGTTTTGAAAAGGATATATTTACTGACAATTTCTGGAGGCTTGTGTTGAGTACATTGACCACTGCTGGTTCTGTCTGTTTGTGGACCAGGAAGAGAGCACCTGTCATGCCCTGCTCCTGCCGATCCTCCTGTGTGCCACGCCCCCCTCGCTACCTCCTGTGTAATCCCTGTGTTATCAGCTGTTTCTAGTTGTATCTAATTAGTCCTGTTAATCCTGTGTATTTAAGTCCGCATTAAAGTATGTTTCCCCAGTCTGGTCATTGACGTCGTTCCATGTAGATGAGTGTGTTTTTCCTAATCAAACCCTGTGTTCTCCCGACTCCTTGACTCTTGTGCATGCTTCCCCGCTGCGTGCATTATGACACAACCAAATACTCTCTGTTTTTCACTTCTTCCCCAGAACTGTAGTCTCCATAGAGTCCCCCCCATCACCCTAACCCCCACAGAACTCCCCACTAGCACTATGGTTTACTGAATACCTTAGACACAAGTGGTAGATGCTAGCCCATATTTTAGTCATAATTATAATTATTTTAACTCACTCATTCTACTCACTATTATTGGAATGATTATTTATTCACTTTATTTATGTTTCCACCCACTGTGCCGTTTCCATAATAATCTCTGCGATGCAGAGTGTTCTTGTCCAGATTGCTGCTTTTCTGTATGACAGTTGCCATACAGAATTTCATTGTTTGGTTTTACAATGTCAGTAAATGTGTCATGTCTTATGTAAAATCCCAGAAAATACCCACTGCCCTTGTATGCCATCCATCTATCCATTTTCTGTAACCGCTTGTCCTATTCAGGGTCATGAGGTCTTGTATGCTATTATATGCTAAATAAAGGAATAAAAATATGTAAGCCTTTATACGGCTGGTTATGATAAAATAGGATGTATATGATCAAATTTGTTTAATAAAAAATTTGTATTACAATTAAAAACACAACATTATAAGGCATTTTTCACCTAGAGTGGCACCGAGCAATGATCAGCCTGTCATGCAATTGGTCACTTTGCATTACTTTCAAATAATGCAAAATTTGCACAGCGGTTTGCAAATGCTGGCCTGATGTTGTGCATTAACACTGTGTTCTTTGTCCCAGGCAGTTAATTATTGCTCACTGGTTTGACAGATATTTGTAAAGGGAGGTTGCTTTCAAATGTAAGCCTGTCATTCACACTGATGTCAGTCATGGCCCCTCTTTATTCTGGGTGCAGGGACAGCAATCCCCCACCCCCAACACCACCTTTCTATCTCCCTATTTCCCAGAGTGATATATAGCAATGTTTCCCAACCCAGTCCTTGGGGAACCCTGGACAGTCCACGTTATTGCTTCCTCTCAGCTCCCAGCATACCTGTACCAGGTATTCTGTGTTCCTGATTGGCTGGGGGCTGGGAAGGAGCAAAAACATGGACTGGGTTGGGAAATACTGCTATATAGGTTTAAATCCTGTAGCCAGCAGAGTAACCCTTTCACTGTTAGGCCCTTAACTACAGGGGTGCTGCATACTGGGTGACCCTGTGCTCTGACTCTCAAACACTCGCTCTCACCTGTATATACATGTGTGCCTGTCATATAGAGCAAGATGTGATTCTTAGAAACAGCCAACTATCCCCACAGGGATGAATGAGGGACCTTTGTACTTATTTTAACCATATTTGTCATATTTGTCATATTTGTCTGGTCACAACAGAAGCTTAACAATACCATATATATTCAGAAAAATAACCCATATAGCATACTGAATGATGGTTTCTGGACTGTTCCATTTTGTACAGTATATAGATTCAATGAACCTACAGTACATGCAAAATGCAAGACTATACAAATTAGACTTTGATTAAAGTTAAATTTAGACAGGTCACAAATCTCAGGTTATAGTTCTGATGTTGATAAAATAATCATGAGAGTTTTTAATATGGGTCAAGGTACCATTAAACAGACTGCTTCTAGTTCATCATTAGAAGGATTAACACAGTTTGTTGAAACTAGGCTATCTTGTTCCGGAGTTATTAAAAAATCTGACATATGAGAATGTGCCAATGGTGTCAAGGTCACTTCTGCACACAGACAAGCACAACTTTGCCTGTGGAATCAATGTCTTCAGGTCCTATTTGGTTTGAATTGTTTGTTACTGAATAACCTTTGTTGTTTTTTTAACCATATTACTTAAATTAAACTGGCAATTCACTGAACCTGAACTCGATTGATATTTTCCCCCACGCACCATTACAGAAACTTCAGTTTTAAGGAGCAGTCTTAACTTTTTATTATCTGCAAAAACTTAAGGTCACTTAGATAGATCACTTAAGGTCACTTAGATAGATCACTTAGATCACTTAAGATCCATTATAAAAAAGACTAAGACAGGGATACACTCTGGACAGGAGCCAGTCCATTGCATCACACATACTCACACTCTATGGGAAAATTAGAGACACCAATTAGCATAATTGCAAGTCCTTGAACTTTGTGCACAACTCAAGGAGAGCCTAAAAACTAGACATTTACAGACCAGAGGCAAGACCCAGACATCCTACCCTGAAGGACAGGCAAAGAATGTAACTTACTCACTCAGCAAGCCACCCAGGCAATATCGCCATAATAATAATAATTGATCCTGTGTGATCCCCATGGGGAAACTATTTTTTTTACACCTCCCTCAACTTGCTTTTTGTAGAGCAAGCTGCCCACAAAGGACAGTCACCTGTTGGGGTGTCCAGGGAGCTGGGGGTTAAGGGCCTTGCTGAAGGACCCACAGACATGCTGAGGCTGGGGTTGAACTGGTGACCTTGCAATTACAGGCACAGCCAACTGAGCCACACACTCATCCATCCAACCATCCATCCACCCATCTTCATCATCCACCTTTCCAGTTCAGGGTTGTGCGTAAGCTCAGGCTGAGGTAAGCTCAGCATGGGACGCCAGTAGCCACACAATAGAACCTTCTTTAGGTAATGCAATTTAAAATGAAAGGTTGCCACCTGCTGGTGAATAACCTGTAAATGATTTACTTGACTTTCAACCATTCAGCAGGACAGCCAAAAAAGTCACACTTAAAAAACGTTTTTCTGTTTTATTTGAATCAGTTATTCACATTCAAATATGACCACGTAACAAAAGGAGAATGTCATAAAATTCTTGGTCCAAGAAGCTCTCTTGTGTTCGGATGTTATTGAGGCTACAGCGAGGTCCCAGACTTGATGATCAGAAAACAGGCCGCAGAGTTAGCCTTCATTTGCAGTTCTAAGACGTAAATCCTTCACAGGTGACAGTAGTCTCAGATAAAACAATATGGATACGTACTTCTCTGCCAGAAAGCCTCCCCGAATTCATCAGAAGTATATGGCATCCTGCTGTAGCCCCAAGCAAAGCTGCTGTTTGTGTGAATTCCAGAGCACCGCAGGCAGATGACCAAGCCCTTTGCTCTCCCTGTCGGCCCCAGGCAGACCCTGCAGGCTTCGTGTCTCCATTGCGGGCCTGGAGAATTTTCAGCATCCTTCACCCGCTCACTTCACCCGTATTTTGTGTCTATACCCACAATAGATATTGGGGGTAAGCAGTGCTGCTGGCAGGAGGCCTTATGTGAAGCCTCCATGTAAATGACACAGCTGGACAGGCTCTTACGCTCCTTTTTCATGCCTGACTGTCTATGCCACTGGCACAGAAGCAGTTTCACTTGCTCTCGGAAGAAGCTGGTGGTCAGGGTGTAGAGGATGGGGTTCAAGGCGCTGTTGATGGGCAAAACGAAGATCACCAGCCAGGAAGTGATGGTACCTAAGCAGGGAAAGGGAGAGACAAAGGGGTTTTAAAAAGCTTTAAACTTTACAAAGATTCAAACTTTATTGAGTGACACACTGTCTCCTAGCAACAGTGCTACACTACCATAGGTAGAACGCATCGCCAAACCAGGAAGTATTAAATCATGTCATGGAAACAGGAAATAATAAATCATGTCAATTTCTTTTTTTTTTGGTGAAGGGAAGAGTGACTTTCTGTTCACACTGAAAGTGTCTGTTTCATCCAAAGTAAGTCTCTGTAAGATATTCAATTACATAAATAAATGAAGATTGAACCATGATTACAATATTTATTATTTAAGTACTGTTGAGGACTGAATAAATCACTCTGTATTTTGAAGGTGTAGTTGTTAGTACTGTACTGGAGAAGTTGATGGATATTTAGTACTGAAGAAATAATTCATGTAAATTCACATATTTCATTACAAATATGGCTTTACTTCATTTTCAGTTCATTTTAAAATAAGTTAGTGAGTCAGGACAAGAATTATCTCAGACATGCATAAATAGTAGTTATTTTTTCTAAATTTAAAGGTATTTTTTTTTCTTGAAAAGTTTTTGGATAATTATAGATAACTCAAGTGGCAAAAGAAAATCCTATTTTTTTATGATGACACCTGATGAAATGTTTCGAAAATCTGTTTAAACTGGATGAAGGAAGGCTTTTGTGTATAACTGATCAGCAGCTTGGAATCGGGTTTTAGGGAAAATAATGTTCTGACCCGCAGCAAAGCCTACCTGGGATTTCAACCTCCAGCAGCGACAGGATCTTAATGAGGAAGATTGGAATCCAGCAGAGGGCGTCAGAGAACACGATAAAGAAGAAGCGGTTCGCTACCGCCACGTCTCTGTGCAGTCGGCTACGGAGCACGGTGGCGTTGATGCCGGTCCGGTATATAGAATAAAACATGCAGGAATAGCAGAAGACGATGATGAGGAAGGCCACCAGATTGAGCCCTGTGTATAGGTGAGAAGAGGAGAAAGGATGACTGTCCTCAACCGGATTTAGCAAAAGGGTTTTGATCTATAATTAAAAATAGGCACAAATCCTGATTCTTTTTCTGCCCTTACAGATCGCCTAATATACATTAAATACGACTTTTACAGCGTTTAAACTTTTTAGTCAGCCAAACTACTGCAAGATCTCCGTTTGGCTACAGAATCCATTATATAGATATTTTGACATAATCATTCTTTATAGTGCAGCAGATTCTTTCTGTTGGTTAAAACCTTAATGGGTTTGTGATGGACAATAACGTAACAAATTTAAGAGATTGGGTGAAATCGTATTCTTCATGCTATTATCTGAGTTCCATTGTAATTACAACAATGAATAAACCTATTCGGACAATCACGAATAACAAACCAATTAAATCTTTTCCTTTTTTTTTTTTTTACCCCTGACCTTCGTTCTCTTTCGTCACGCACCTCCTGTTCTGCTTCCCAAGAGCAGCAAAAGGTTCTTCAGCTGTTGCATTATTCACAAAGCAGCCAGGCAGAGGTTGTGATTATAATGACGCAGCCAAATGAGTCGGCATGCATGTTGTGTTTTGGCAGCGGCTGATTAGACTTCCCCGTCTCTGGGGAAAGGGTGCGGAAACCTATCAACTCCAAAACCACGGCAGCTTGCTATGGAAGTCCTGTTTTTTCATACCCATACATCTAATACAAACTAAGCTCTTGATCAGCATGTTACATGACCGCATTGAAATTATTTTCTAGGCCTTTAGAAAATTAATCTAACCTACGAATATAAAAAGTTTCATTGCATAATGATAATAATTTCAGCTGTGATTATCATATTATAAAAATGTCTTAAGAGTGGAACATACTTGAAAGACTTTGACTTAAAAAGTATTTTTTCTACTTCTGCCTGTGAACTTCAAATTTGCAGCAAATGATATGTAACTGAGGCTCACTCCTCCAGGGTTGTGGGTTCGATTCCTACCCCTTCGCTTTACACCCTTCCACATTCCCCCTGGTGTGTACTGTACTTCTGTTTTCCTCCATAGTCCAGACACATGCAGGAAGGTGAGCGTTTGCCTTTGCCTTTCCATTGCCCACAGTGTGTGACTGTGTTGTCTGCATTGCCCCTTAGCTCGTGCTCTCTGCTTTCTGGCCGCAGCCTCACCCTGACCCTGTACTCCATAAACATTATGAAAAATTTATGAATGGATGGATGATGAAACAGAATTCAAGTTTGCTGAGGTCTTCCATTGAAATGAAGGCTGTAGGTCAATCAATTGCTCTTCTTTGGGATAGTTTGCTCCTAGAGGTCTAGTTAGTGAAAAGTAGGGCGCTCACCCAGAAATATTCCTGTGGAGTAGCCCTTGGCGGTGGGTCTTTCCAGGAGGTCGGAGTGCAGGGGGAAGCAGACGCCGTTACGGCCGTAGTAATTTCCGAAGAGGTCTTCATCGAGCAGCGGCACGGCGGCAATGAGCACACCCAGCAGCCAGATGGCAACCAGCACGGCGACAGCCTGGCAGTGGCCTGGACGCAAGTCGCTGAAGGGGAAGACGATGGCCAGGAACTTCTCCAGGGTCAGGTAGGTGAGGAGCATGACGGAGACCTCGGACGAGAGCGTGGCCAGGAAACCCATGGTGTGGCAGGTGGGGCTCTCCATCCACAGCTGGGCGTTGCGGTTGTACTCCCCCCGAAACTTGAGGTCAAACACCCCCAAGAAGAACAGGTACACCCCCATGAGGCAGTCAGCACCTGCCCATAAGTACATGTCAGAACATGAGGAGCTCCAGAGATACTGATACACATCTGCCAGATCTGTGGAGAAGCTGTGGAGGAAATGATTAAAAGCATAAGGCTTCTTTACAGCAAGCTGCAAAGTTTACTGTAACATTATACACACAATGTACACAACTAAAACATTTTAAAGTTTTGTTTTCCATTATCTGGATGTCTTAATCTCCGATTCATAAATGACTTTAATATTTGGATTTTTGGTAGCCATTTTTTCCCTTTCTTGCTGATGAATAAAGTATATATTTAAATGAATATTTATTAATTATTATGTCATATACTTTCATAGCTTTGAGAGAAAATCATTTTCCTTTTTATACTACTGAAGTCCTAAAAGCCTTAAAGGTTGACAGTCTTTTTTCAGAGTAAAAATCCATTAAAAATTGACAAGCCTTCTGGATGTACTTAGAAAGTATAGCGCTTTCAGTTCTGAACATTTTAAGCCATGTACAATATTAAATTTGTCTATCAGTCAGCCAGCAGTAAATGGTATCACCAAAGCATTTACATATGAATTACTGTAATTTACATCTTGTATGAAAACCAGGGGGTTTGCATATGCATCATGAAAATTTACATATGCGTGAAAATAAGAGCCAGGAAATCATTTATTTGATAGATATAATTTGCAAATAACGTGTTTGTTCTTGCAGATCGATACAGCACAGGGTGCTTCAGTGGCACCAGTTGCCACTGTCAGCCGGGGTATAAGATCATTGATTGCAATGTGATCTTAACCTTGATGACTGCAAAGTCCAGTCTGATTGATGGAAAGCTGGTTGCAGCTTTTTCTGATGATATCCCAGGTTTCTCAGAATGTAGGGACCTGCCTTCCTGAGGCCACGGCTGATGGCACCGCTCACCAGCGTCGGTAAATCGTTGTGTCAACAGCAAACCCTGCATCTCTGACTGGAGGCAACGGAGTGCCATGAAGATTAATCACCTGCGGGCTGAGAGGCAAATCAATAGGCTCTTGTGATTTGGCGTGGAGATTAATAAACCGTGAAAAGTTGTAAGTGACATTTCCAAAGGCATCGGAAATCACAGTAGATTTCAGAGGCAGTGATTGTTTTTGTTTTTATTTCTTTTAGTCTTTTTTAATATGACCTGTACTCACTGGGGGAAGACACAGGCACGTCGTTTTCTATGTATCTTAATTCTGCTGCCATTTCTCTATAGGTTTAAACTAACAAGACAGCTTGTCTGCTTGTGGAAGCTTCCAGGTTTGCTTCATATGCGCGAACCACAGGAGACTGTCCAGTATCTACCCGTTAGTGTGCTGGTTATCACAGAGTAAAAGAAGGCTCATCCTGTACGCTTTTTCAGGACTTTCAAAGATCCATTCCAGAGCTTATTTCCTGTTTTGTTATCTTCTCTGCTTTACTTGATAATGCTTCTGGTTGACAGTTTCCCCATAATACACTTTTTTTCCACTGAATTTAATTTGAAGTCGTTATCAGGCTTTTTACATACAGATGCCTTGGGTGTCTTAAAAGGCTGTTTTTAAAAAAAAAAAATTGATATTACTAACAGAAATGCATTTAGCATGGTAAAGTTAAAAGAGTCGGGTATACACAACAATTACAGGCGAAACGAAGCTGGGAAAACTGGGACAGCTGTTGTGTTGCAGTGTCCGGACGGCAAAGCAGCGTTGAATGCTGAAATAACATTCACCTCTGCTCCATTGGCTATTTCTACACTGCTCCTGCAGATATCCGGCTGTATAAAAGAATACATTTGCAAAATCATTTGAGAATCAGCAGAAACGTGTATTTTATATGTAATCATTGTGTTAGAAAAAGCTGGGTAATTGCTCCACACCCAAAAATGAACTGCCTGATGCTAATGCCTTTAGCATACAAAATAGACAGTGCTATCACCTCCATGCCTCAAAGCATGAACTTAGTGCATGTATGAATTTTGATTAACTTTCTAGTGTCCCCAAATTGTGGGCCTCTGTGCTTGTGTGGTTTCTATATACAACCTATCTACACTCTGGCACGACTCTATGGCCTATTATGATAGTACCGTTGGTCCTTGACAGAGGTCAGTCCCTCTCTCCATGGAGAGAGGAGGTCTGCGCAGGGCAGGGACAGTGACACTCACAGCACATGGAGAGAGGAGGTCTGCGCAGGGCAGGGACAGTGACACTCACAGCACATGGAGAGAGAAGGTCTGCGCAGGGCAGGGTCAGTGACACTCACAGCATAGGACCTTGATGCTCAGAGCATGCAGGTGGTTCTCAGCCCGGATGACGGTGCGCATGCCGATGACGAAGAGGTTCCCGAAGCATGTGATGCAGGCCATGACCCACACCGACACGCGCAGGACCGTGTTGGCCAGAAGGTTCTCGAAGGAGGAGATCCCATCCGAGTTGGGTTTGCATCTCCGCACATGTGGCGCATAAGAGCAGTACTGAAACATCTTAAAATAGCTGAAGATAGCAGGCAGAATCATGTTACAGAACCGTATACATCTATTCACAGTCTTCATATGAATATTACACTATTTTATACACAGTTATATTTAATGGTTATCTTCCACAATAGTAGGTGCTTTTAAAATACTATACGATTAGTATAAAAATATTAACTGAGTGCAATTTTATTTTAAATTAAAAACTACTTAAAATACAGCCCAAAGTCATGACCATCACATGGCTCTTGCACAACCAAATTGTACAGCTGTACTAAACTGTCCACAGGGATCCAAGTCAGGAGGTTTTTTGTTTTTCAGATACTAACATGTGTGACAGGTTTTTCATTGGCTCCAACATCCGCTTTTGAATGTTTGGGATCTCGATTCCCTCCAGGCTCCTGGGAGCGAAAGATTAAAAAAAAGACCAAAATGGACTCATTCATCCATCAGTGTCATCGCACAGTGTGCCTCTGATTTCAGCTCATCTGCTGTATAGCTTAATTATTTGCAGTGATCATCACCCAAAGTACTTTCAGCCAGTCATAGAAATTAAATTTTAACATAACTGAATGTTTAAGGTACAACACACTGAATCCATATTAGCTGAGTTACTGGCTCAGTTTTTTAGCCGCCCATCAGAATGCTGAAAGGGGTGATTCCATATAGGTCAACAACTGTGTACTTCCCTACCTCGTATTGCTAAATGTTAATTAAATGCTGTATTAATTACATAGCACTTTAATTAAACACATCTGGAGACAATAGATTACACATAACAAATGAGAATAATATTTTTATAAAGGCAATGATAAAGAGCAGGTTTGGAATCTATATGGGTGACGTGTCTTCAGTGTCATTTCCCTGGCAGCAGGATATGGATGTACCATTTTTACTCACAAAGACTGAAGACTGATAAGGGGATCAAACAGGCCAAGATGAATGTGCCTCAAAGGATTATGGGATATATTTCTGGAATATGTAAAAATACACAAAAACAATTATTCCAAGAAAACATAGAACACATAGCTCTGCAAAAGATTACTGCCGGATCAAAAACTTCACTGAGTTCAGGATTAAAATGAAAGTGATACTAAAATAAAATGTATAAGACAGACAAATGTCTTGCAGTGGTTTGGAACTTACAGCGTCAGCAGCGACTTTAATCCCCCGAAGATGTGCCACGGCAGCTCCATGACCCTGTTACTCGACAAGTCTCTGGAAATCGAATGGGAGGACCACAACGACAATGAGGGTACGGAAGCATCAGTCAGCGTTGCTCCTAGGGATATTGACTTCACTTTTAATTTGTAAGATAAGGAGATGTGAAAAACCACACAGAATAAAACAGATAATAAAAGGAGGGAAAAAATATATGCTTTATATGTCTTTTCCTCCTAGTGGGCATGAATAAGTAATCAGCCATAAATCTGTTATTGCTGACAGTAGAAATGACTTATTGCAAAAGTACGACAGAGTTTAGGGCAGTAAACATGCTTTATTGAACACTTACAGTTCTCCCAGTAATAAAAGGGGCTGGAAGACATTTTCAGGGAGGAATCTAATTTTATTGCTACGCAGTGATCTGAAAGAGAATTAGATAGTTAACAGCATGGATCTATCAAGGCTGAGTATTGATTCTGTCAACACTGATCAGTGGTTTTGCCCGCTTTTTTCAACACTGTTAAGTACCAGATGACAGCGGCATTGGATTGTACTGATTGCAGATATCCTGAAACACAGCCCACATGGAACCTCCAGCACTAAGGCCACAGAATGGGCATCGATACATACAGTATCTGGCAGTGTGTCTCCTGCTGTCCTTCAAGTGCCAGCAGCTGGAGGAGAATGACTTTGATTCTGCTTTTACTCCACAAACCCTTCTATCCTCTCTCAGTGAGTTTTATGGAAATGTCTGCATTCTAGCACCAACTGAGCAGGACACATCCTGATTATCAAGGTCTTACATTTTACTGTCAGGTTCCTACACTGACAAGCAGAAATGTCACCAAAAATGAATACTTTAGAGCTGTTTTTTTCTGGAGGGAAGATAATATGTGCTATTTAAAACCAGCACATACATAGAGGTGGGTGGACCAATGATTCCATGTATAGCATGATCACCTCTCACTCCCAGGGTGGTGGGTTCAGAATCCGCTGTCGTGCTCTACATGGCTGGAGTTTCTATGTCGTACTCATGTTTTTTCCTCTCACAGCTCAAAAACCCCCATTAAGGTGAAGCAGTGCTGCTACAGTAAATTGCTAAACCCTGTACTGGATAAGTACTCATGGAACATAAATTGATATACAAGAGAGCAGATGGACTGTGCATATAGAAGATGGCATATACATTAGGTGGAAAAGAAAAAAATCACCAACTGACATTTTTTCCTTTTTAAAAGAAAAGATGGATGATGGGTGGATGAGTGAGTGAGTGTGTGAGTGAGGGAGTGAGAAAATCAGTTTAGTGAGTGAGTGAGTGGTGATAGAGTGACTGAGTTCAGTGAGTATGTGAGTGAGTGACTGAGTGAGTGACTGAGTTTAGTGAGTATGTGAGTGAGGGAGTGAGAAAATGAGTTTAGTGAGTGAGTGAGTGGTGAGAGAATGACTGAGTTTAGTGAGTATGTGAGTGAGTGAGTTTAGGGAGTGTGTGAGTGAGACAGCGAGTGAGTCTCCTCATCATCAGGGATTCAGAGATATACTCACAATACTGTGAGCTCGTTGCATGTCATCAGCGTAGAAAAATCGAGAACCTGGATCTTGTTCCCTTCAAAGTCCCTGCAAGAAAAAGTGAGCAGTGAGACATGCAGTCAGAGGAAGAACTGGAGGGAGTATTTAACGGCAATTTAATTTTCTGCTGTAATCTTTGGCCCATTATTGCTGTTACTCTCCCTTTAACTGACCTTTGTGTGCCTTTCCGATTCAAAGCAGGAGAGCACTGTTCTGTCCCAATGAGGGACAGCTGGTGCCACATCTTATCTCATCTTGCCAGTAGCAGTGAGCATCCACAATGGAGGTACATGGCTTATTACACTATGCCCTGATACAAACCTGATGTATACAAACCTAAGGAAAATTGCAAACAACAGAGATCCATCTCTATCTCAACACTGGCTGCAGATTTTGCCCTACAACAACCATTACCCTAAACCAAACTGGGACTGATTCCTAAATATGCAATAATAAATACAGTATATTGATAGGCAAGTCGACATACATTTAAATAAAACCTAAGATATGTACATGTATAACTATACCAATTTAGTAATTTAGTATCAGAAATTATCTGTATTTCTGGATCTGTGGATTGGCAAGAAGTCTAAGGATGCCTGTTATTATGGCTTTTCAACGCATCTGCTCATTTGTAGACAGCAAAACAAATAACTATTAGGGATTCTTTGGCATTTTCTGTGACAACAGCTTAGAAAAGCTGACTACCTAACTATAAATTGAGGAATTCAGGAAGACAGCCCAGAGAAATTATAATTGTTTCTGTACAAAACAGAAACATTCTCCAGGATGGATACCTGGGAACGAGGGTCAGATTTTGCCTGAATACAAAATAAAAATGATGAAATTAACTCACTGATGATGGTGATGATTAGGTAGATTGGCAGGTTTCTCGAGGATCTTGCTTTTGATATTCACAGCTACACAACATTACCGGAAACTCCCACATATCAAAAGAGCTAATTATATAAATGATTAGACAATGCAGTTTTAGGGATGCTGGCTTTATATTCTGACAGCAATCTCAAAATAATTTGTACACTGATTGAGAAGGCTTATATTTCATATTACTATTCATGTATTAAAGGCCAATAAACCTTCCTGTCTGTGTCCTGTGCATTCACATTCAGGCTATAAACAGACTGAGAAACAGGAGTCCCAGACCTGTACGAGCATTAACATAAACCCAAAACAAAGACAGAGGTTACCACAGTGGATACAGGAGCTAATGAGAAAGATAGAAATAGTGGAACAAGCTCTTTTGTTTTCTGGTGTGAGTTTTGTTTGGGGAAAAAATGGGGATATTATTGGATTTTCAGGATTTGGATGAAGACACATTACTGTGTGGTATTTAAAAGCTAACCTGAAACAAACATCTGGTTACTTCACTGAATTATCCATCAAAACCAAAACTAATAATGTAATTCAATGTTTCCCAACCCGGCCCTCGGGGACCTGCAGACGGCCCATGTTCCCTCCCAGCCCCCAAACAGACAGTCCATGGTTTTGCTTCTACATGGCTTGGGAAACACTGATGTAATTACGCAGCAACCTGGCGTAGAAGAAACATGTGAAAATTTTTTTTAAAAATGTTGCTATGAACAAGTTTATATAGTGGATTAATATATACATATATACACACACACACACACATATATATATGTGAATGAGAGGGCTGTCTCCCTGCGCCTTCGGGTCGGGATAGGTCATCATCTGTGCTTATGCCCGGTAGGTGTGTTCCAACTATAGGGGGATCACACTTCTCAATCTTCCTGGGAAAGTCTATTCCGGGGTACTGGAGAGGAGGGTGAGATCGATAGTCGAATCTCGGATTCAGGAGGAACAATGGAGAGGTTTTCCGTGCATGTCCTACAGGGAGGAGGCCCTGGGGCAGACCCAGGACACGCTGGAGGGATTATATCTCTCAGTTAGCCTGGAAATACCTCGGCATCCCCCCCGAAGAGCTGGTAGAGGTACTGGGGAGAGGGAGGTCTGGGTATCTCTCCTGGAGCTGCTACCCCCATGACCCCGAACCCCAGACAAGCGGAAGCTAATGGATGGATGGATATATATACATATACTACGTATATACACTGCCCGGCCAAAAAAAAACCCGTTGCCATTTGAATTTACATCAGCATATACTTAAGAACCAATGACTGGATGATTATTACAGCTCAGCAACATGATGCAGCAATAAAGTAAAGTCAGCTGAGTATCTGAATCTACTGAATGGCCAGGTTACACCTCCATCCATCATAAATTGATTTTTTCTTCCCTGTTGGCATGGGCATATTCCAGGACAAGAATGCCAAGATTCATTGGGTTTGAATTGTCCAAGAGTGGTTCAGGGAGCATGAGGAATCATTTTCAAGCATGACTTGGTCACCACAGAGTTGTGACCTTAACCTCATTGAAGGTCTCTGGGATGTGCTGATGGAGGCTTTATGGAGGGGTTAACTCACTTGTCAATACAAGATATCTGGGAGAAATTAATGCAAATCTGGATGAAAATAAAGGATGAGATGTTGAATAAGCCTGTGGAAACAATGCCATGACAAATGTGCGCCATAATCAAAGCTAAAGGCGGTTCAAAGAAAAATTCAAATGGCAACTTTTTTTTTTTGGCCAGGCAGAGTATTTTACCTCAAATGATTTCACTGCAGCAGTATTCTCAGTTAATCATTTAGTTACTAACAACACCTTAAACAGGCACAGGCCTGATGAAATGCTGACAGCAATATTTATATCCATTAACATTTATAACATGATAGACAGTAATGTGATCAACTCAAAAGAATTGCTCAGATAAACAGTCATTTCTAGTTGCTGGAAAAATCCAGCATGATGAATCATCAGTGGTGTAGCCTACAAAATATGTTTTAATCTTGACTCTTTATACAGCTGAATTCATTGCTATATCTAATATTTGCAAAAAAAAAATCTAAAATACCTCAGCCTATATATAGACCAGTCCATCGCTTGTCTTTCAGCAACAGGAAATGGCCTTTTGAGACAAACCACTATCAATGTCATTTACTGCATATTTAATGCATATTTGATGCTGGATCTGCATTTTTAGCCTGATGATTTATGGTAAATATAACATTCCCCTTATACTACTCAAATACCATTGGGGAGGAGCGGTTCCTAGCCAAGCAAAAGTTTCCATTCCCAGCAAAATAGGTTGGACTGAATGACTATTGACTTTGTCAAACTATAAATCTATTAATGCAACAGAGATCTCTTTTGAGCATTTCCAAAAATAAATGTTAATCTAGAGTAATCCAACAAATCAGGCCAAAAAATAAAATATACTAAATTAAGCATCAAGTTTAAGCAATTAAAAGGGGGAAATGGTTGCTAGCCTGTGAATTATATTGTGGATTATTACCCATTTATGTTTAATCCCGTTTAAAAATATTCTTTCTTTTCATCATTTAATCACAACTGCACCTGCAAACACTCTCTGACGAAGAATTCAATGCATATGGTCCAACCCAAAAATCTAGAATATAGAGATGTTATTCCCCTGGAAGTCACAGGGTAAGTCACAGGATTAACCTTTTATTTATACATTCATTTATTTTCTTTGGGGGGAGACTATTGTGTTGGATCCATCTTTGTAATGATTCCACTTGGGGAGCATTAGAGTGGTGAAGTAATAGAATATTCAACAAGTACAAGAGTTTACAAGGGCAAATGGGGATAAATTAAACAAATTAATTGCTGGCAGAACTTTAGAAACAACAGTATGCAGTGGGGAGACCAGTGATGTAACTGTGAAAGTCAGTCAGCGATCACACAGTGTATTCTGTAGAAACTGTCTGCCCCAACAAGCTTCAGGCGTTTGCCAACGTGATTTTGATGAGAAATGCAGTTCCAGACAAGATTTTCTTTTTGAATCTCTACCCTGTAGTGATCAGCTGCGAAAATTGCACTTAATTAATGGGAGCTACTGACACTTACACTGCAGACAGATAAAGTTTTGTTTACTTGAAGCATCACAATGTGCTACCAGATATTGTTAAAAAATATTTCAGACACCCCCCCCTTCCAACTTTGAGATGGATTTGACACTCGCGAGCTGTTCAGCTGAAATACCTTTGCTTTTCTCTGGCAATGAAGCAGGAAGAAGTGAGGAGAGAGGCCTCCCTCTGTAGCTTTCTGCGTGTCTGCTTGGTGCTCTTACATAGGAAACCCCATAATCACCCTCAGGTGAATACAAATCCAACAATCTACAACACAGCTGGATCTGGTAGATTTAACTTAAGATTACATTTGATCTGGCCAGAATCCTAGTAGGTTTGACTCCTATACCTCTTTGCAGGGCACTTCTACTGAGTTCTGCAGCACGACTAATTTTTCTTGTTTCTCTTGGATCCTCCAGTCTTTCCGTTGCATGAAAACAGCCTTCCGAGTAGTACTGTACCACTCTCAATTTTGTACATCTGTGATAAGCTCTGCTGGCTCCATGTAAGTCTCCTGTTAGGTAAATTAGTGTCTGACATGTTTTTCATGTCTGCTTGTGTGTGAGTGTGCATCTCACGATGGACAGTAATCACATCCTGGGTGTGCCCTGTGCTTCCTGGGGTGAGCTCCAGGCTCATTCCAATCTTGTAATGAATAATGGAAAATGAATAGATGGAAATTTGTGATAGAATATTAGGTACCGTGTTGCCATAGGTGCCCATAAACAACAACTAATGCTGAACTGTTTTCCATGTTTATTCTGTCCAATTGTATGCAATCTTACCATTACTCTCATTTAGCAGGACAGGAATTTAACCAAGGGCGTAACTTTGGCTGGAACATTGGGGGGGTCGAGGTCTCCACCCATTACAGGGGAAACATGATTATTGGGGGGGGGTTATATTGGCTGGATCTGATTTTTGGGGGGGTCATGACCCCCCTAACTCCCCTGGAAATTACGCCCATGAATTTAACTCCTTATCACCGTGTGACAGACTCAGACCGGCCATTGGGAGTAGCGGGAGATTTCCTGGTGACCGGCCATTCAGAGCCTTTAAATAATCAGACGGTGAAAC